GGGGGGGGGGGAAAGCGGCTGGCACGTAAGACTGACAACCTAGCCGCCATCTGTGAGCCAACTATCTCAACCCTATGGGCCTTCACAGCCTGTTACATGGATAAAAAAGTAAAGCTATCCCTGTAACATGCCGTGAAGGCCCATAGGGTTGTGAGACGTTGAGGATCCAACATTATCTAGACAATCGGCTCAAAGATGGCGGTAAGGTTGTCAGCCTTACACACCGGCCGCGCTTTAGTCCCCAGGAAACTTATTTAATTAATTCCTGGTACTCATTTCTGTTAGGGGCTGAGTGAACCCCACGGCCATAGTGTGGCTGGAAGGATTAGATCAACTGAAAAAAATCCAATGACTTCATTGGGACTTAAACCTGTGACCTTCCGGCTTGTAGCATAGCCCCTCAACCAACTATTCTACCGCATGCCCCGTTTATCTTTTTACATTACATCTTTCCTCAGATCTACAAAATTGCTCCAACTGTACCTGGACATCTTCGGATTTGTGAAATGAACTTCATTTGAGACACAGTATGTAACAGCATCTTTCTCCTCCTCTCCTTCAGCAGACTGGTCACCGTCTTCATCTGCAATGGATAATATTTACAGTAGAACTATAACCTTTACAGTTCCCGTGAAATACAGTTCTTTGTAATACGGTTCAAGTTATGGATTTCTCATATACGGAATGAATTTGCCCAGCCTAAACCAAATGCAAATAATTTTCTGAAGAGTACATACAGTCCTGGGTTGTAATGTCATGTAGTCTCAGAAAACCCTGCTATTTTGGAGGAAGACTCCACCTCCATTTTCATGCTTTAAGTGAAATCCAAGCAAGAAACCAGCACAATGCAGGTAGCAAGCAGGAATGTCAGTGAACTACTGAACTACAGTGTCACATCTGAAAAGACAGTACTCTTCAGTCTGATTACTGCACATACAATGTAGAAATAGCACAGCCCTGCTTCTTGGCTGACGATAGAGATGGGAGTGGTATGCTGCTCCAAAATGGTGGGCTTTTCCAAAGTACATGGCATTACAACTAAGAGGGCTATACTCTTTGTAGCAACCACTGTGAGAACCTCAACTAATTCACTAACTCCATAAAGATGAGCCCTTCAGCCACTCAAGAATTTCCAAACATTCTATGGAGCATGAAGGTTCATTACTATGTTCACAAGAGTCCCACACTGGTCCCTATCCTCAGCCAGATTAATCCAGTCCATACCACCCCATTCCATTTATCTAAGATCCAACTTAATATTATCCTTCTATCTAAATCTAGGTCTTCCTACTGGTCTCTTTCATGAAAACCTCAAATTCAAAATTATTTGCTCCTTTAACTTGAGGGAGGGAGGAAGAACCTATGTTTCACTCACTGATAACAAGGGATGCCTTTCCATGGAAGGTTACGTAACATGAGTCTGACCACATATTTACACTAAATATTTTAAGCTAGTAATCATCTGGGACGTGACATCATGCAAGTTGGATGGAAAAGCACCAACATAACTTTGGATGAACATGCTAACTCAGTATTCTGGGCAGAAGAGTGAACTCTCATATACACACACACACACACACACACAAACACAACCTTATAATTTATGCAACTCTGAAGATGCATAACAACAAAGGCAAAGCTGATTCAGACAATCGGTTTGAAAAGGCGTCCTAAAGTTCAGATATTTGCAAACAACAGTATTAATCAAATTAAATTTAAACAAAAAAAAATCAGAGCATATTAATGTGGTGAATGCCTGCTACCATTTAGTTCAGAATTTTCTTTCCTGTTTTTGTTTTCCAGTCTGCTACCTAAAAATGCAAATATTAAAATACATACTAAAGTACAATTTTCTATACATATCATGAAATTTTCACAGCAGCATTGTGGTCTTCTGGGTTATGAAAATGTGTAGTTATGTGGGCAGATACCAACACTTTCAGAACATCACAGTCTGTACAGTTTTACTTGGTGTCTTGGAAACTTTCTGCCTGACTACATGGAATCACATCCCAGGAGGACTAACCTCCATATTCTTGATGAAATCAAACAATTTTAATCGTTTGGTATGGGTGTGAAACTCGACTCTCACATCATTCACTGAGGGTCTATGTGAACATGATGCTGTCGAAAACAATTGGACTGAAGTGGGGAAGTGACAGAACTAAAAAAACTGCATACTGAGCTGCTTCATAATCTGCAATCTTAACTAGATACAATTAGAGTGATCAAGGAAGATGACCTGGGTGGGGCACATAACATACATGGGAAAGATAACATTTTCGACTGGATAACCTGAAGCGAAGAAACTTAGGCACTAATGGGAAAATTATAAAATAAATCTTAAACATACTGGGTGTCAGAATGCAAGCTAATTTATTAGTCACCCAACATTCTACTAGCTTCTCAAGAAGGGCTCTGCTCTATCAGTTATTATTGGACAGCAAATGAACAGGTACAAGCATATCAGCCATCTTTAATTATGTCATTCACAGGTAGCACTTCAGTACCTTACAAGGTTAAGGGTCAATGTTCCATTTAATTTTCTTCAGTCGTATCAATTTACAACCAACCTTTTGATGATGCACGCTGTATAAGCAAGCACGAAACTTGCGGATCGCTTAAAAATTTCTGTATGCAATCCTGATTACTGCGATCACTTAATGCTGCAGTTAATGCTGGAGAAATTATATCCTCATCCTCTGGCAGCAGAATAGTAACGGCCTTTTTCAAGTAAGTAGCAAACGTACAGTATTCGACAATTGCAACACTTTCGGCCACTGCAGGGCTATCTCCAGTTCCTCCTTCTAATGAATCACCCATTATTCAATTTACGTAGTCATGTAATTTCACATTGACCCACTCGACCACATAACAACTTCATTACTCATCTCCGTGCCCCCATCTTGTCGGGCTTGTCGGGTGCCACCGAAATCCGAACCGTTCCGAACTGATCCGATCCACAAACGTCAATGTCGTCGAGGGTCGTCGAGGTCGTCGATGTTGTCAAAATCGATCAATAAGGAACACGCGCAGCTCTTCACTGCGTCTGACGTAATACGAAAATCGGTGTTAAAAGGCAGGAACATATTTTAAATTGATGATAAATTTCGTTCATTTCCGTAGAATATCAGTTGTTATTAACTGTTGTCGGAGTCATAAGAGCGGGATGCAAACCACGATAGGTACATGAAGATGATTATGTTAACCAGAGAGCATTCATCAATTAACTGAGTGTATCACAGATTACTAAATTTTAGAATGTCACATTACAGAACTAAAGAAGCCATATCATTTAAACTATGTAGTCGTTCAGATCCCTGATGTAGTTAACTGTGCTGCATATATCATAATCTTGTATATACATCTACTCTGGCCTTTTGTTACTCGTTATATCTTTACCATGCTGAACACTGAGTATAATGCATTTTTGTACCCAACACCTCTGAACTTTGCTAAGCATACAAACTTTTGGTCTGTGGTAACTGCTGTTTTGAAATGGCAGATAATCTTTATTCTGTTAAGATTCATAGCTTCAGAAATTAATTGTAAATCAAAACAAGCCATAAAGTTGCAGAATTTATTTGGTTCACAGGTTATAATAAACACAGTAGAACCCACATTTTAATTTTCATCAATTCAAGGTCTACCCCCATTTAAATTTAAGTTTCAGTTATCTAAAGTCAATAATCCTTGTTAAATTTCCTCCACTTCGTGTTCAAATCCACCGATTCCATCCTCCACTAAAAAATATTTACATCGAGGTTTCAATGTCAGTAGCAACAGCAAGAGGTCATAATTGTTATAGTGAATAAGGAGATGGATTAGTAGTCAGGCTGGCAAGCAGAAGGTCTTACATATAAATCTGTTTTTACCATAAACTGTTTTATTGATACAAACCATTTAGATATACACGTACATAAAAATGTGAAATGTAAAATAATACTGTGTAACAACAAAAAAGTGTATCAAAAAAGCACAATAGACCACTGTAGGTCGTGGGCCGAAAAGGCCTACCCCTTATACATTCAAGTGTATCAAAAAGTGACCTTATTGTCAAGTGATTTAATATCCCCCAAATGATCTGATGATCAATTAAACATTTCTTGTATTTCTTAATTAATTTGGACACAAGATCATTAAAACATTTCTTCTCACAGATAACACACACAATACTGCACTTACTACAAACAAATTCATATAAAATAACTGTGTACTAATTTCAGGGTTAGAATGTACTGCCATGTCTCAGCTGCACTACAGATTCAGTCATGACAACTGCCTGAGGAGATACTAATGTGCAAAATAATAATGCAAGGAACTCTGTGAACAAATGTAATATCTGACACTGCCATGGAAGCAACTGTAAAGCTCACAGTCTTCTGGAATGTGAAGTCATATGGTCTAGTATAATGTTTCAGAGGAACCCGCTGGCCCTATCTTCAGAGCAGAGGACCAAGCCAAGAATGGAAGAGTGGTACAGATATAAGGAAAGGAAAAACCAGAATTGGCACTGGGTGAACCAGGTTTCTATGGAACATTAAGAAACAAACAGATGACTAAATACAGAATTAGAATATTAGGGAAGGTCTAAAGGTAGAAGAACAATTCGAAAAAGACTATAAATGAAGGGCATACTCTATTTGCCTGAATATAAGCTGGACTGCCAAGATTATGTGGTTTTGAAATGAATGAAGAAATATTTTTATGCACTTATATAATCACTAAATGCAACAATCTTAACAGCTGAGAGTTTCATACTGCTCACGCAGTTACATTTACTTAAAACATGTTAATTTAATTTTTATGGTTGACGACAGAATTTGATAACATCAGAAAATGAGGCTTGACGCTTTTCCATTAGGACGGCACTAATTTGTAACACTGATTCAAACTGACTTAAAATCAACATATACTTTAATAAAAACTACACATTATCTTTTGGTCATAACAATGAACAGTGTACCTTCATCAGATCCACACAATCCAATGACTTTTTTTTTAATGAACCACTTATAAGTCACACACTGATTTTAAAAGCATCAATTTTATTAACACAGCGAGGCTTATATTCACGTAAATACAGTACCTCCTCATAGAACACAACTCACCGCCTAATAGAATAATATATGAAAAGTCATCTGCTTAGCCCGTTACAGTTCTCATAATTTCAAACCTCACAACAACCTCAACCTAAACAAATCTGCCAATATACAGACTAGTTTAGGAATCACTTCTAGTATATAATACATATTGCACTAAAATTGCTGCTGGCATCACTCCTGCATTATAGACAGTGTCGCGTAACTTCGAACAAGGCCCCGCATTCCTAGTCAAATCCCGGGCATAGCTTGTGGCGGGAGGAGTTTCTTAACAATTGTTCTTCCACTTTCACCAACCCACCCCCTGTCTGAAATTTTTCTTCTGTGCATTCGAGGTTACTCTTGGCCTTGTTCAGTTACGTGACACTTGCTATAAACAACAAAGCGTTTAGTCTCTTTTCATATATTTATTTCACAGTGAATGGAAAGCACAAATGCTGTATCTACTTCTTGCTCCAATTCATGGTAAAAACATGTATGACTAGACGTCACACCAATAATCTGACTGTGGATTTTGAAACCCAAACATTCTTCAAAATCTGAAATAACCAGGCATTATCTCCCCCTTCAAAAAACGCAAAACATGTGAATTCCCACCCTCTGAAATGTATGTACTGTCACACAGATTATAGTCTTTCTTTGGAAACAACAGAAAACACATAATCCTTAAAATAGCTATCAAAGGGTAGACAACTTCTTTTCTCAAAGACAGTTTTTAAAATGTACGTTTTAGAAAACTTACTGAAAATATTTTACGAGTAAATTACTGTAAAAGAGGGGGTGGGGCAGCAGATAAAGTGACCCCTCAATTACACGTGTACCAAATTTTGAACTGCAGAGCTTATGATTTCTTCCAAAAACGCATCTAAATTTTATGAAAATACCAATGCAAAGACAGAGTTTACAACTTCAATATTTTTAAGTCCTGCTACTTCTTAGATTTTTGTATCTACACAATGGGACTTGCTGACCTTGGTTTCAAAAACTGTATGACCATAATAAATCAAAGCTATGGTAGCCTAACCCAAGTTTTTAAGAATGTGACATGTGACTCATAACAACTGTTGGTAATTACAGAAACTGATGCTTAACTTACAAGCCTCCCCCATTCCAGATTTACATAGAAGCCAGACAGGTTACAGCTTAAGACCTTGCAATTTGTGGGTCCTCCAAATACTAAGAAAATAAAATTACCTAACAGGATGACACACCATTTTCCTGTAAAACTCAAAAGATATGAAACAGCTTATTATCTTATCAGATTTGAATGATGCAAACAGCACATGCAGTAATACCTCTGAGAATCAAAAACAAATGCGGATGTGGCATCATTCCTTATAGTTCAAATGCGTGACTGTTCCAAGCAAACTCTTTGTGCAGTTCCACATACACTTGCCCACAAGTATCCACATCTAAAGCAACATTTCATAGTAATTTTTTAACAAAATACAACATTTTTAATATTTTTGTTAAGTTACAATCCATTGTGTAAAAGTCTGCCCACATAGTTATTTAGAAACAACCTTCAATATTTATTAATAATTTTTATACTATTTAAAAAAATACAGTAGCCACATTTTTATCACAGCTTACAACCCTGTGAAATCTTAATCTGGCTCTGCTGCCTTCAGAGAGGACAAGGTACAAAGTCACAGGCATGCTTACAGGTTTCAGGAGAAATACAGACTCACAACTATGTTTTGATTTGATAAAGAATGAACACATTTATATATCACTGATCTGAAACAATAAACACAGCATAAATATAACTACGTTGTGACTGCACTGCACATATGAAATAAACCAATCAGAAAGACTGAACCCATAATGTTTTATATGTAAGACACACAGTGAAGCATCAACAAATGCACCCTTTAGTCTTTATTTAACTTCTCAAATCTCTCTACTATTTGTTGCACCCACTCATCCTCACGAGGACTGTACCTGCACCCCCGGTATGAGTTAAGCTTGCAACAGAAATTTATAAGGTGTCTCCAGCGTTCATCAGCTTCCAGGATATGTGGGTTTCCCACAATGATCAGCAGTGAACGGGCTCTTGTGATGGCCACATTAAATCTCTGTATAAAAAAACATTACACTTCATTATATATCAGATGCTATGGGACTATGCTTTCTGTAGCTCACTGAATATGTTGAATATAAGAAACAAGGATAAGAATGGAATTAGAACTAAAAATTAAAGGAAAGAGACCTATGCGATGATGAAAATAATATGCTTCAGCCAGGTACTGGAAGACAGCAATAATTAAAAAGGAACAATTCTATGTGAGGGGGGGGAGGAGAAGGGGGGGAAAAATAAAAGAAAAGAAATGATGCTAGGCAAAGAGGAAAATGCAGTATGCATTGTTCAGTTTAGCTGCTAAAATGTCACTATGAAAAGTGTAACCCCAGGGCCTTGTCTCAGAGTGAGGACAGGTATCATTGGTGCTGTGGAGAGTTAACATATTAACCATATAGAGAACTGAATGTGCAGTGATCAGCCAGCTTCGTAAGTTAATATGATCCTCTGCAAGTCCTCATATATGTGACTATGAAGAGTACAGTCTTCTGGGTAGTAAAACTACATAGTTTGGAGAGATTCCCACATTTCAGAGTGAATTATCATCTTCATCTTCATGATCAAAAAGTAAGACAAGCAAGAAGCAGTCAGCAAGTCTGTCCAAAACGTCAGTCTACTTCTGAACTACAAAGTGTTACTACCCAGAAGACCATACTCTTCATAATCACTGCTGTGAGCAGTTGAAATTCAACAAATGATAACTATGTAGGATCTCAGGTTCCCACAGCGGTGGTTATGGAGAGTGCCATTTTCTGGGATATAGCGCCGTGTAGTCTGTCCCACAAGGTATCACATGATGGAAACACGTAGCAGTAGAATCTTCACTGCGGATCATATGAATGTGGACACAACCATGGAAAGGGAGAGACAAGACAAATAAGCAGCCATGAGATCTGACGTTCTAATTGCTAATATGAAAATTACTGTCTTATGTGTTGAGCTGCCACATAGTACTCTAGAAAGTTACCAACATTTGAGAGGAACTTTCTGCCCCATCTTCAAAAGAGTATTCCTTCAGAATGTGCGTATCTTTGTCAGACTATGCAGGATCAATTACCAGAAGACAGTAACCTTAAAACGAGGAAATGTGTTCATACTATGGGCTGCACATAAACAGACAAATAACACAAGCAACCTACAATTTCGATATGTACTTCCCTCATGAATTCAGATGTTGGACCATTCATTTCCTATAGTGGGAGGATGGACATACCTGAACTTGTACAAACTTCTCATTTCACCTGGATATGCTGTCCCCAAGGGGAAATGGAAGTGACCAAGTTAAAAGCACAAGATCTCTGTGTACCATAAGCCTATAGAAGTTACTTCAAAGGAAAATTGTGCTAAAACTCAGGCCCATGAGGTAAAGCCCTCCATGAAGATCACAAGTTCAAGTCCCTTTGAGGTCACTGCACTTTTTTTCAATTGACCTAATCCTTCCAGCCGCATTATGGCTCTGGGGTCGACTCAGCCTCTAACAGAAATGAGTACCAGAAATGTTGTTGGAATATTCTTGGGGGTAAAGGGCAGCTGGTGAGTAAGGCCGACAACCTCACCGCCATCTATGAGCTGACCGTCTAGAAAATGTGGGAATCTCAACATCTCACAACCCTATGGGTCTCCTGGCCTGTTACAGGGATACCTTTACTTTTACTTTTTTACTAAATGCATATGGTTCAAATTTCTCTTCTACATTAAGGCATTAAATGTTTGCCCCTGTTACCTTTACTGAATTTTGTTTACATATCTTAGTACTACTGCTGTTGCTGCTATTTCAGGTGGCAACAAAGTTCTCAGATTTGTTAAACCTAAAGCCAGCCATTAATGGGGAGAAGAGGAATGCATATAGGATATTGGTTGGAAAACCAGAAGGAAAGAGACCACTGGGAAGACCAAGGCATAGGTTGGTGGACAATATTAAAATGGATATTAGAGAGATAGGATGGGATGGTATGGATTGGATTGATCTGGCTAAAAATAGGGACCAGTGAAGGGCTCTTGTGAACATGGTAATGAACCATCGGGTTCGATAAAATGCTGGGATATTCTTGAATAGCTGCAGATATGGCTTCTCCTCAAGACTGGTTCAGCTCCATAAGAAAGTAAGTAAAGCCAGCCATTATATGAAGCTGATGTAAAGCAGAGATGAAGAAAGTAAAATAAACAGAATTTCTCTGATGTAACTGTTTTAATGGAAACATACCTTTGCATTTGCTACAAAGCCCAGCTTCAATTTGCTATCCAGTTCAAGAAGGTTCCGTTGGCTTCGAACAGTGGAAACGATGATCACACGTTTTTCACGCCCCTGAAATGTTTCTGTTGTGCCAACCTCAATGTTCTCCCAGGCCTTATGTTTCAGCTTTGCTTTCAATTTGTACACCTGTCTGATGTACGGTGCTAATATTCCTATGTCCTCCTGTTGTACTGGTTCACGGGACGGTCCACCTTTCAGAAGATCTTGGACATAACGAACCACTGTCTCCAGTTCGTACAGATTGAAGTAACTGAAAGCAAATTCTTATATTGTCTTTTAAGAAATATGTCTCACGTTCTCTTCAGCTTATCCTTTCTGGTTTAATCAGTCTAACAATGAGATTAAGAGCACAAATTCTGAAACTCATTGCTGCTAATGGTGGACTGTTTCTAGCATTCAGATTAACAGTTGGACAAGAGGTCGCACCATAGTTCAAGTGGTTAGTCACTGGCTTCCCAATGCAGTGGCCCGGGTTCGATCCTGGGTCTGGTCAAGTGGGATTTGTGGTTGACAAAGTGGCGCTGGGCAGGTTTTCTCCAAGTACTTCCGTTTCCCCTGTCAATCTTCATTCCACCAGATTCTCCATTATCATAATTACCCGGGGCAGGTACAATAGGCCGATCAGTGGCCGACATGCTGAGTGGACCCAACTGGACTCCACCCCCCACTTTGGACTGAGCAAATTTAACAGGCTCTTCATAGGTTTACTATGCACCTAAAAAGGAACTAAATGGAAAACAAGCACCAACATAACAGTACCAAAAATAGAAATAAGAAAAGGAGTGACACAATCAAAGTTACCTGGGAGCTCTGCCTTCTCTCTTCTCATGACCTATCACGCCATGGAAGACCACAGCACGGTCAAAACGCAAATCATTTTTCAAATTCTTGACTGTGTCATTAGTCACATCTATCCCACATGCCGGCTGAAACATTAAAGACATTTCTTCTTTAAAATGGTTTGACGTTCTCCACAGAATGAAGAGTAAGAACGCATTCTGTGCACGAGAACACACACTGTTCAGAAATGTACTGTGATATTTCACAGAGCACTGATGTTGATATGTATTATGTGAGATCTGATGTTCTGACAGCAGTGAATATGAAGAATACTACGTGACACCATGTAACCTGGCGGACAGACCCCACTGTCATGGAGGAACATGCTGCATTTAGAGATATTGGGTTTTCGGACTTTATCCATTGTCCTGGTTTTAAGATAACTAAGAAAAACATGACGTTTCGGAAACTGGATCTGTTTCCATCCTCAGGTGAGGATGGAAATCACTGTCCAGTGATTGAGGCTAGCTCTTTCTAAGGGACCCAACAGAACAGGTGTTTTCCTTCACCTGAGGACGGAAACAGATCCAGTTCCCGAAACGTCGTGTTTTTCTTAATTATCTTAAAACCAGGACAATGGATAAAGTCCAAAAACCCAATATCTCTGTGTGTTATACACCATCATCAGAATCCTATAGTAACACATGCTGCATTTATTTCAAGATTATAAAATCTGGGCAGGAAAATGGGGGTATGGATATAGGGGAATGAGGAACAAACAGCGCAGTGAGAAGGGCAATAGGAAATACTGGCCCCTAAAATGGTCCACCATCTCCCATTAACCCGTCTGCCGACAGCCCCATTTCCTCTTTCATTTGCCTACATATGTACCCTTATTTTCCCACATGGTTTACTCTTCTGCTCTGAAGATGGAGGTAGCAAGTTCTGCTAAAACATAACTTTCTATCCAATACAGTGTGACATACCAGAAGATAGAAACCTTGAAGTGTACATGTATGCTTTTGTGTGTTCCTCATACTCATGAAGAGAACAGTGGGAGGCCATGTCTGTCTGTCTGTTCACCTCTATGTTTCACTTATAAAACCACTTTCAGATTCTTTAGATTTGATACTAGTTAGTATACTAGAAGTTATCAGGGGTTACTTATATCAGTCTGTCAATCAACTATCATCCTTACTTCAGGCTGAAAACAGACTTTATAAAGATTACCACAAAGTGTATAATACATATAGCGTTAAGAATTTTTTTATGAAGGGAATATCTTACAAAAATTGGCTGAAAAATACTTTAAAGTTCAGTACAATATTTCTACAGTCAATTAATTTTGTAAACAATATACTGTATCTTCAACAAATGAATGCTAAGATTCTACCACAAACAATTTATTTTGTAAATATGTGTATACCAAACTGGAGTACAGTCACACATTATCTCTGCTGTTCATTTATGACATAACTTCTCTTTGAAACTTTCTTTAGTATCAACTTCAATACAGTATCCACATAACTGGATGATTTCTAGTATGCTAGTCTAGTATAAGACAGGTGTGAGGTCTGAGGATCTCAGAAGGGTGACTGCCAAAACTGTCGTCACCTGGAGTGTGATGCTGGGTAGTTGGGCAGGCATGCACCAGTGTTCGGAGGAGCCTGGTGTTTCCAGCTTCAGGGTAGATGTATATGGAAGCAGCAGTTCCCCTAGACATTAGTATGTATCTATCAAAGTAGATGACGTTACAATAAAAAAAGTGTTTTTTCCGCAAGTAAACTATACTGACCGAGCAAGCTACCTCTGCTTGTCGGCAAAGTTTAGCGCTAACTTCTTGCGGACAGAGGGTGTCACGTGGTCAGTGCAACGAATCCCATGGCCGTTAATTTAGGTTTTCTAGACTGGAGCCGCTATTTCCTTCAAATAGCTTCTCAATTACCATCATTCATTCATTTATTTCACTTTCTAACTGATCCTGATACAGGCATAATACAAGCATACGATATAGAATAGGATATAGGATATAGAATCACGAGGCTGAGTGCACCCTGTTCCAGACCCACTACTTCTCAGAAAAAATCTGGTAGCACCAGGAATCGAACCCGGACCTCTGGATCTGTTGCCAGGAAGTCTGACCACAGAGGCAGTTGCATACCAGAGAATAATTTGTGAACTTTGTGATACTAAGTTAATCGGTCATTTACACTGTGAAAAACAAAACGAAGTCCTGGTGTCTGTAACATACTCACTATCAGTTCTCCATCATAGAACAGCTTGTTTGGCACTTCAAGGATGAGTGCATGTGAACGGAAGTTACGACGTAATTTGGTGATAAACTTGCTATTGTAACTTCTCTCTTCACTCTCTTTACTGTAGTGTTTCCACTTGTTCATCAGACGTTCCATCAAGGATATTCCTGCACAACATGTCTCCTAATCAGTGGCATCTCCAAACATAAACGAAAAAGCAGCACAAATGAATGCACCACAAACAAGTAAGGAATAAAATATAAAAGTTCTTGTGCAAAATGAAATCTTCCAAACTTCCCACCTTACTGTCATGGGGAAGTTTCTGTACCCTGATTACCTGGATAACTATGGCAACGGAGGCATAAGGTCCTAGTAGGGTCATCCATGGTAAACAGATCTAAGGGTAAGGGCCAGATGAAAGGAAGCCCCTAGTCCTCCAGGTTGGGGTTGGGTGAGATGCCAACCACCACACGTAGGAAAAAAATATGTGCTATGAAACCTAACAATGGATGTTGGATGGATAATTTATGAAAATGACCAAGAAAATGTTATAACGACACTTAGTTAGCCTTCATCTTCCTATCTGGAATGTGTTCAGATTGTCCAGGACAGAGGCAATTATGGTACAAGAAAAGGGGAAAAGCCTAAATTGAGATGGCTGGAAGATGCAGAGAATGATTTATGAGAGATGAAACTGTACAGATGGAGTTAAAAGGGAATTTTTTTGTAAGAGAAGCCAAGGTCCTTAAGAGATCTAGAGTCAAGGAGCGAGTGGGCGAATGAGTACATAACCTTATGACATGTTCTGTTGTGTATTAAATTACTAAAATCTCCACCTGATGTTGACCACAAAGGTCAACATCAGGTTCAAATAAAAAGATACAGTATTCACGATACACTGCTGACTGCGGAACATTGCTGAATAATACCTTCATACAAATAACATAGCTGAGGTTCCCACATGGCACAGAATACCAATCTATATGTAATAATACAAATGCCGTCGTGAATGCAACAATTTACTTGGTTGTAGATCTTTGTCTTTCCTTCCTCTACACTACGTTTCAGCCATAATTGGCCATCATCAGGTGTATTTTTCACTACACAGCTGTCACACTGCACACAGTCCAAAATCTAAAATATCAGCCTGTCAGCTTTGTTTTAAAAATCTCGCCAACACATGCTCATAAATTTGATTTTAGAATTACAGTTTAAAATTTAACATTTAAAATTTCTAAAATTTAAAGTTTTAAATACCAGGGACACCTGCTCTTGTCTACATGTGCTGCAGTGGCTATTTCTTGTCTTCAGCAACGTTCATGTATTAGTCCATGCAAGCTCCGTGTGTGTGTGTGTGTGTCGCTGTTCATCATTAATACTGTCACATGTTGGGTGTGTCACGTGACAAATAAATATACGTGGGTCTCGGATTCAGCGAATCTTTATTGGACACACTTTACAACCATTAGCACTTGGCAGTATTGCAATTACTGCTTATACAATATCTCGGCCAATACTTCTGTAGCTCTTTGTATCTAGATTCCAACTATCTTCAGCGGAGACTAATTCCAGACTTTATTCTTCGGTGGTTATTTCCAGACTGTCTCCTTTGGTGGTTAATTCCAGACTGACTTCTTCTTGTTGAAGCTGGGCTATTTATACCTCGGCGGTTACTATACAATGAACCTTTGTTATAACCGTGGAAACTCATCTCTATGCAATGCTCACTGTTAGAATTACAGTATTGCTATTGTTACTTCCTATGCAACAGTCTGTTCTAGCGTTTCCATAGAAGTGACTCTTCTGGATTCCAAACACGTTACAACACTGTAGAAAAGTATAAAAGTTTAAAATTTCTAAAATTTAACGTTTTAAATTTTAAACTGTAATTCTAAAATCAAATTGACGAGCGTGTGTTGGCGAGATTTTTAAAACAAAACTGACAGGCTGATGTTCTAGAGTTTGGACTGTGTGCAGTGTGACAGCCACATAGTGAAAAATACACCTGATGATGGCCAATTACGGCCGAAACATGTAGTGTAGAGGAAGAAAAGACAAAGATCTACAACCAAATAAATTGTTGCATTCACGACAGCATTTGTATTATTACATATAGAAGTGTATAGTGCAACAGGATGCTTAAATATAATACAGAATACCAAGGCTGACACATTGTACTTTGGTGTGTGGGTACTAACATTTCAGACTAACCTATATAACTCTCTTCTGCCCTAAGATGGAGGCAGCAGGTTCTTCTGAAACGTCAGCATGATCCATTATACCAGTGGTTCTCAACCTTTATGAGACCGCGGCCCAGTAAGTTCTTTTTTTATAAGACGAGGGCACAGTCCCAACAAATTTACTCGTAAATACCTTTCCAGTTTTGTTAAAGTTCATGCATTAATCTACTGTAATATTAGTAATTAAGTATAGCATACTCATAAAGAGCATTAGTACACTTATATATATGGTGTAGCATGTTGACAAACATAAAATTATATTTAAATTAGTTATCAGTTAGTTAGTAGATGGCTTCATTTCCGAGAACAGTAGCACAAATAACACACTGAGGTCATGGCAATTGGTCAGTGTTAGGGCATTGTACGAAACCAAATTTTAAGTAGCTGTCCATGTACTTACGAATGGATGCAGACTTTTCTTGTGTGCTGGTGGTTTTCCCTTCATTTTGTACATCCTGAAGATTGCTATGCAGGCTTGAGGTGGATGAATCACTACTTGTTGGATCACAAACACCTTCAATACGAGATTTCTTAACACGAAAATTAAACAAAGCTCCCTGTCTCTTATTCATATTAAAATTTAAATCACTCAGGTTTTGAAACAAGCACTTACACATTGCAATGCAAAATTGCGAAGAAACAGTACTCAGTATTACCGGATTTGAGAACCGGATACAGACTACCTTGATTTTCAATTTCAGTGGAAACATTTTCTTTATACTTCCTTGCTGATTGGTCACTGACATTTGCAACACAGATGTTATTTCGCTCAGTTCTGAGAACAGAGGATATGTCTCCCATTGTTGTAATCGGCTAGCAGGCAATTTTTACGACTGGTCATAAACATCAGTATTGCCTTTCCCAAATGTTGAAAGAGTTGGATGTCTGAAAATTCCCGATCATTCATGAATACTTCCATGTTTAAAAATATGCGGCTTGGTCATTGACATTTGTTACACAGATTTAGGTGTTCTGTGTCTGAGCTTCTCCACACAAATATTATTCTCCTCAGAATATTTCCACTATAAAATATTTATTCATGAAAAATGCTTACAAAATGAAAATGACAAATTCCAGAAGAGCCTCTCTCGGCCCAGTATAACTGATGCCAGGGCCCACTGCTGGGCTGCGGCCCAGCGGTTGAGAAGCACTGCATTATACTACACAGAGTCATATCCTATAGAAGCCTGTACTCTTCACAAAAGTGACTTCATAATAAGTTTTACACTAAGTAATGTTATCATCTCTCCTCTCCAAGTATAATATGAATTATCAAGTCAAGGAGGATGAGGTGGACACGGCATGTAGCATGAATGGGGGAGACGAGGAATGCATACAGGATATTGGTGGGAAAGCCAGAAGGAAAGAGACCACTGGGAACACCAAGGTGTAGGTGGGGGGACAATATTAAAATGAATCCTAGAGAGATAGGATGGGATATGGATTAGACTGATCTGGATCAGGATATGGACCAGTGGAGAGCTCTTGTGTACACGGTAATGAACATTTGGGTTCCATAAAATGCTGGGAAATCTTTCAGTACCTGCAGAATTGGTGGCTCCTCTAGAAGGGCTCAGCTCCATGAGTAATGTTATCTATGTTACAAAAGGCAGTAGTATATATTACAGTTAATAAATAATTTTATATATAAATGTACAAACACAGAGGAAAATTATGAAGTGGAAGTAACTTAAGTGCTGTTAATAGTTATTCTATATACTAAAGTACACTTATGTGGCTATACGTGGGTACAACGGATGTAAGTAACCATTTTCCTTTGCACTCATTTTCACATCCTTCATTAGTTTGATAACACTTCATGTAATCAATTAAAATACCAATTTAATCTACTACAGTTAAGGTAACTTACCCAGACATAACTTTTCTGCTATGTTGGAATGACACACTGGCCCCAATTGCAATGGATCTCCGGCAAGAATGACCTGTCCGCCTGGTTGATATTTCATTGCTGTACCCAGAATTCCTACCAGAGGAACCAAGGTTTCAGGCTCCATTGCCTGACCACACTCATCAATGAATATGTGAGTGAAATGGACGGTGGGATCAAAGCTACCGTCTCTCTTTTTCAGTAACCTGCATGACAGGATTTGTTCACTGTACACTGAACACAACGAACAGACGGGCAAAATACACGTTTAGAGGTTTTCACTGTGGTGGCTGTACAGGTTATGTCCTTTGGGGTTGTGACAGCCCACGATCCTGTAGGCAGACATCAAAGTTTGAGAGGACTTTGCTCCCTCCATCTTCAGGGCTGAAGTGTAGAGATTACAGAATTGTTTCGATTATACAGGAATGCTGCAAGGTGGGTGGGGGGGGGTCATTCAGGCCCATGTGAGAGGGGATGAAAATGCCGCCTGAGCCAGCCCAATGGGGGACAGTGAGTGGGAAACTGGTTCTTTTAAAACTATACTAGTTCTTTTATAGCAGGAGGAAATGGAATAGTGGGACACAATAGAGACAAAATACCACATAATCTAAGCTCATCACAGCAGTTAAGTACAAATTAGTCATTTCAGGCAGTTAGCTATGTCAAAACAGAACTTCAGAATTCAGGAGAGACAATGTGCAGATTGGTGGAGTTTTATTCTGGGCTGAAGTACCTGATCACACAACAGTATTTAATTCCTTGTAACCATGCACATATTCAAAATTCCTCTCCTTCCTTGATCTAAATATTATTGAATGCTGCCGTACAGAGCGGTCACAGGGTAGCATTACCCCACAAGTTACACATTGTTACATAATTTTACAAATTACCATCGCTTAAATGAATTTCAAGTTTCAAAAAATTAACTGTAATTTACATTTTAGGTTATGAGGTAACTCTCTGCACACCTGGTATAATTACAGCTGCTATTTACAATCAAGGAATATGCAAGGATAATTACTATATGTTTTCTAGTAGTGTGTCCATTTTCCCAAACCCAAGTGTCTTGTTTTTACATTTCTGTCCGAATTACTTAACAGCTACTAGGTGCAAGGTTATGAGAAGTGAACACAACAGACATCACTGAATATATTGCCATGCTTACCTTCCTGAGCTTATCAAGGTGCACACTACTATTCGGTAACTAGCCAGCTGTGTTTCATCTGGAAAGTAGAATGTACATTTACTAAGATTGCTGTATGGATGGAGCTCTTCCGGAATGGCAGACCTGTTAAACAAAAAATCGCTTATTTCAGCAGATTAATTACCTACAGTGTTCCCTGAACAAGTGAAGAATCGCCTGCCTCTCTTATCATTGGCCTGTTTGCCATGCCCTCAGCCACTATGCTGTACATAACACTGATGTGTCTTAAAAGTAAATGCATTGTTTAGAACAAATCATCACAACAGATGCATAAAATGTCTCCCTTCTGCTCTTCAACAAACTTTTTATCTCTTGAAAATATTATTTGACACTAGCCTGAGTTCACTGACCTTGATATATGTAATTATTTCACAAACATGGTTTAAGCTCATCCACTGTGTGGGGAATATCTGAATACACTTTATGTTCTACGTTTCACTACATGTAAAAATAACAGGGTTTTAAGTCCGGACACCTTGCAGGGCACCATCTGTGACTTTTCAGTTTGTCTTCAAACACTTGGTTTAAAATATTACTGAAATAAGTAACAGTGTGGGTTGTAGCACCATCTTGCATTAATTACCATGTCCTTTCTTCTTCCATAACACTCTCAAGAAAGGGCTGAAAATTGTGACTAATATATCACTCTGAATTCAGGGTCTGTTCAAAAAGTATGAGTCATATTAATCATATACTAGTATCATTCTTTTGGTTGTAAAGAGGTACTTGGAAGTCTGTCTTGGACTAATACCGCTCCAATGCTCATCGTCTAAGCATCAAGATACCAAACTTTCCTCTGCATAATATAATAATAATGAGACCATCATGTACTGCCTGCAGGAACCTTCTTCTCATGTTATCACCAAACTTCAATGTCCTGAATCTGTGTAACTGCATATAGCAGCAGACACTACTTTTGTCACTATCCATGTTGCTGTGGTCACAACCTTCACCTATTCAGCAAATCATGTCAGAGGCTTGCAAGGTGAGCGTTATAAATCCAGCTCCAGTTTTCTCAAGCTTTTGTTTTGTTACCAAAACATTGTCTTGTGTAGTAGCTGTCTAAGGCCCAGATGATGAAGATGAACTTGTACAGAGAAACCTTCTTTTTCATGGTTTGTGTGAATAGTTTTTCAGATAAGACTCATGCATAAAATCCGATATTAAAATGCATTTTTCACCATCCCAATTCACTACTGTAAATGAGAACATGAAACTGACTTCTGAATGATCTTACTAGAACAGAAACAAGTAAGTCTCTCGCAGAGGCCGCATCATAGCTCAAGCGATTAGTCTCTGGCTTCCACCGCGGTGGAGCAGGTTTGACCCCGGGTCTGGTCAAGTGGGATTTGTGGTGGACGAAGTGGTGCTGGGGTGGGTTTATCTCCAAGTACTTCAGTTTCCCTTGCCAATCTTCATTCCACCAAATTCTCCATCATCATAATCACCTGGGCTAGGCTACAATAGGCCAATCAGTGGCTGCCCTGCCGAGTGGACCCAGTTGGACTCCACCCCCCACTAAGTCTTTCACACATGCGGTGATTGCCTTACAAGGTAGGAAGTGACAGAGCCACTGCACAGTAATGAAGCTCAGTCTCTATGTTCCTCCAGCTACTGCTTGCATGTTTTCTTCACACTCAGACCAACTGAATTTGGCTGGTCAAGATTCTGTAGCATGTGGCCACGAACTGGGAGGAGCCTCTTACCTTGAAATGGCCACCTCATGCTCATTTAATGTACTGCTCGGGTAAAAAAACTGTTCAAAATATGGCGGCCAAACAAAACTTTTGGTTATCAGAAAAGGTGGAGCCATGTTTTGTCATCTTGCTGTGACTTTCACATGTGATTGGCATGCAAAATCCAATACTTCTGGCCAGAGTGTTTGTTCTGAACGCTCACATAACAGATAAGAAATCAAATTCAAAAGAGAAACTGTTATAACTTACTAATTATATTGACCTCATTATCTTTGCATTCTGTTCAGCTGACCATATGAGATTATCCCATCTCCACAAGCCAAATCTTGAACGCCAAGCAGAATTCCAGGGAACTTGTACTCAGTTGCCACTTGCAACATGGTGACTAAATTTTTTGACCCCCGATGCAGTTTATTCAGAAATGAAGCTCTGGTCACCGAGTCACAGAAGCACACACATTACACTGTGAGTACCCGGGTTGAGATAACAAGACTCACTACATCCAAGGTGGAAGACAACTCATTACATTTCAGAAAAATAAGCCTCTTCTCTCTCTAGAAAAATGCAGCTTAAAATTCCCCTACATCTTACATTACAGAGATACAGCAAGTAATATATAAAATGACCAAGTTCTGTATGAGGTAACATTCCATCTCTCTGTAGAGAGAGAATCGCTCTGGTCAATTGAGGTCAGCAGCATGACATAAACACTATGTGTACTGTCAACAAATACACGTTATCAAGCCAGCATATTCTTCCAGATTAGTCAATATTTGTGAGAGAGAATTAATGGGAACTATTTACTTTTATTGCATACAAAAGTGCATCAGCATTTGTTTTGGAGTTACACACAGCAGTTACCTGTTGCGTATTTCGTACAAATCTGCAGTCCCAACATGATGCATGCTGGGGTATATGGTAACTGTCCAGTTCAAATGATACGTAACATTCCTCTTCCCAGGCACCACCAAACATAATTTTTAAATAACGACTTGAAGGTTATGGCAATATTTTTTAAGGATAATGGTTTTACAGATGAAAGACTTTGTGAAACACTGCTCTGAATCTCTTACTCCCTTCCAGATAGTGCCCTCCAAGTTCTCCCCCCCCCACCCACTACAAAACTATAAATTGTGGGCACTCAGAAACTCCACATAAAGCTAACAGATGAAATGATAATGCCCATACAGAAACCATTACACGGCATTACCAGTCTCGCGAAGACGAGTGGAGGCGTAGCAGTTCCTTTGTTGTGCAATGAGGAATCAGCTTCTGTGCCAGCCAATCACAGGCAGAATTAGAGGGAGCACATACGAGAATGCAAGATTGCTTCAGTTTCTTCTTAACCTGTAATAAACTAAATGTGAGCACAGGCAAAAGGTAAGAAACTGTAACGTTTCTGTTGGACAACACCTGAAAGCAATTTGAGGTTCTCAGAGCAGTGGTTATGTAGAGTTCTATCTTCTGGTATACGGTGGCATGAAGTCTGTTCAAAGGGAACTGATGTTTCTAAGGAAGATGTCGCCTCCATCTTCAGGGCCAAACAATAAGCCAAGCATGAAACCAGAGTGAAAGCAGGCAGGAAGCAGAGGAGGCTATGTTCCTCCAAAATATTGGTTCGCCTCCAACTCACGACACGGTGTCATATCTCAGGAGATAGAACTCTTCTAATTAACATAAAGATGCGAATATAACATGTCCTAAGGCAGACTTTTAGCATGGAAATAAGAATTATTTTCTGAGACCATTTATTTGTGTAACTTCTTTCTCACATTTGCACATCAAGAAATGCAACATGTTGAGACATATTTAAGTGTGCACAACACAACGTGTAAGTATCACATTACAGATTGCCTGATGATTACTGGACATTGTCTTCTCTTTGCTCCTGCTGCATTTCTCTTGGGCCTCTCCCTTTCAATGTTTATATACTCTTTGACATTCAATTCACTTTCTATCTTGAAGATGGCGTCAGCACATTTCTCTGAAATGTTGGCTTGTACCAGACAACATGGTGTTATATCCCAGAAGACGGTATCTTCACAGTCATCACCGTGAGGACCTCAAATACTGTTCGTACTTACTTTAAGAGTACCTCACCTGCAAAATCGCCTCCACAACAGTCACAGTTTTTCCAGTGCCAGGTGGACCAAAAATTATGTAGGGCGACGGACGGGATGTTCCAAGAAGAATGTTTGTCACTGCTTCCCGCTGTTCTGGATTTGTCCGAATCAATGGGTTGATAAACCTTAAAATACAGATAAGAGAACCCAAAACCATAATTCCCAACACAATCTAAAACGAGTATAAAGAAATACGATTTGAAATTGTCATGAGGCTGAATATTAACCTCGTCACTGCAAAGATGTTCCATAAAACCATCTCATGGAAATTACAAAGCTGCTTCGGGAGGGGGTAAATCTATAAAAGCACAAAAACTAGCAACACTTCCCCAAGCAACCTTCCATTAACCACAGGTATACACCATGTGCAAATCTGTTCCTTTCCTTACAGATCAGTGATGCCATTTAGTCGCATAAACACTGCATTAATGAACAATGAGCCTGTCATTAGGCTGTGTAGGTTTCAATGCAAGCACCTCCAGCTGATCTAATTGGCTCATGGGGTGCAAACGGTTAAGACCGCAGTCTTCTAGGATGTGACATTATGGAGTAGGAAGATTACACTCGTTCATAGGAACCTGCTGCATCCATCTGCAACTGCAGAGCTTCACATGTCAGCAGACCATACCCATGAAAAACTCTTGCATAAACACAGCAAATAGATAATCTTTGACTTACAGTTCTGTTATGAAGTTCTACAGATGAAAATCATTAGCTCATCAGACTGTGCTACTGCACCTTAGTTATTTTCCTGCTGCTTCAATATGTTTCATGTTTCTTTTATATTTGCTAAATATTGCTTTGTTTCAGAACAATATGATAATACTGTCATGGGAAAATTTTCTTTCAGTGCTGCCTGTTGTCTGGATAAAAATACACAATGTTTTAGAATCCAGCTCCATCACTGTCTTGTGGTAGATGGAAAAAGCATCCACTCCACAAGGTTAATTACTTAATGCCATATGGGCATATGTCAAGTTATTTACGTTATGTTTATTTTTTTTTATTGTTACTTAAATAGCAATCAGAATTATCATATTCTATAAACTATTGCGGTGACACTGGGCTACTGAGCCCGCCTATGGCAGGATGAGGGTCCTTCCACTGAAGGAGCCTCCGTTATTCACTTGAGGTCAATTGGAAGACGTCTTTTCAAGCGTCTATTTTTGGGTTCTTCCAGTAGTGGCTTCATCAATGGATTGATGTGCATATCTAGTCAATCATAGTGTTTGCTGCTATGCTCTTGGATTACATCAGAGATGGTTGAGATGTTTATTTGATAATAACAATCAAAAACAATAACATGTGCCAATTTGTAGACTGCAGATCACAGAAGTAGCTGTTGAAACAAACAATCTGGAATACACGCAGCACATAGCTTTAAACAAGTGGACGACGCCCTATACGAGGTGGATGCAATTTTACGAAAGATTTTAATTAAGTGGACTGTAATGTGCAATTTTAGTGCGCATCAAAACGGTGTAACAATTTAGATGCATCAAAACACCTGGTGATGGCCATCTGTGACCAAAACATGTCGTGTTGGTGTTGAATAGTGAATATTTTAATGATTGTTGCATTACTGACAGACTAACTACACAGACGTTTAGTTAAAGATGTGCAACAGGATGCTGAAATACAGAATTACATGTAGCATAGAGGCTCCACCAATTACGCTACCGCGTAAGTACAAAATTATGTATCAGATTTATATTCTCATGCATTACATGCATTAATTAGCTGAATATGTACATTCCAAACACCATAATTTTAGATCAAAGAGCCAAGTAGGCATAAGCATACAGGAGCAGACCAAGAGCAATTGTGAGCAGAGAAACAAATAAACCTTTTCTTACTCGATGTTCCCTTGTATACGTAGCGGAGGAAAGCTGAGATCTGGAGGAAACACCACGTGAAACTTGTCCTCCTTCACCAGCATGTCAATTGCTCGATGCATGACAAAAAGCGAGAAACGATTAAAGGAGAAATGCACATCAAAGCGCAGATCTGGTTTCTTCTCCAGCCTCTCCATTAACCTGCAGACACATACACAAACTCAAAACTACTTTGGCTCATCTCTTTTACACTACAACAACTCACAGTATTCAGGAAAGGATATCAGTAACAGTAACTTTGACGTGTATATATTTATTATTTATTTATTTATTTGTAGTTCATTAGTCAGTGACGTAAATATCTATGAATTCTGCGTTACATGACTGGATGTTAGAGAATAATGAAACATAAAGGATGTAGATGGAATATCCACTCCACACACTAATTTAAGGTACTATATTGAGGGACTCAGCAAAACTAAGAAAATCTTCACTCACAACATTCAGCATTCTGGCCAAGTTTCCAGTAATTTAGTCAAATACATGTTATGCTTGGATGACTTGGAGGGAGGGAGGGAGGGAGGGAGGGAGAGAGAGAGGGAGGGGCAAGAACTGCAATTTAAGACTGTGGTCTTATGGATCAAGAAAGGCATATAAGGCAGAACAACAATTTTTAAATAGTGAAGAAAATTAACCAATTTTTTTCTTTTGCATGAAATTAAAAATATAAGACTTTCAATCACAAAATAAGACTGTAACCAATATGAAACTAATCACAGGCAAAGTATAAAATAATTATTTATGAACTATATTATAAATTCCATACCTTCCAATAAGTGATAAGAGTTGACTACTTATGTGTATATCTTCAATGAAGTTACAACATTCGCCACCAACTACCAACTTGCCTAATTACACTCATATGGAAATAACATTTTGAGGCACAGCACTATGAAGATTACTGTCTTCTGAGTTGTAGCACAGTGTATATCGGACAGAGCTCAATCTTTGCTCAATGAAGCCTACCACCCGCTTCTGCTGGCTTCTTGCTAGACTCATTCTTCAACTCTGATGATGGAGGCCACATTTTCCTCTGAAACATCAGGCTCTCTCCGAATTGGACACCATCATAACCCAGAAGTACAACTCTTCAAACAATATTTGTTTTTCCTATTGCACTTGGGATGAAATTTCACCTGGCTATTTCTGCCTCAAGCTGGAAAGTGCTGTGATTACTCACTCTGAATCGAAACCTCCAATCCAGATGCAAGATTCCCTCACGTCTGCAACAACACCTTCATACTCAATGTGCTCCCACTTGCCTTTTCCTAAAGACACTCGAACATAGATTATGTCTCCTTTCAGCAGAGAAGGGCGCTGCTCGGCAAGTCCTGGTACCTAACGTGTAAGTCATGTCATATAATCAGGGCTCAACTCATCTGATGATGCATAACAAGAAAAATATCAAGGCTGAAAGTGAGAAAATCGTTAATATTCCCTCCCGTTCTTATTTTGAGATGTTCAGATTAAAATTTGAACAGTACATGATATCAGCAGCATGTGCAAGTCTCGTAATTACATAGACTAATCAAGGAAAATTTTTATTTAGTCTCAAACTTCAAGAATAGTCAAGTAATAGCTCTTGCTTTGGACACCAACATGCAAATTACACAATTCGTCAGAATCACTCTGCCAACAAAATCTGTCCATCTCTCATTTTGTCTATAGTGAAAAAGGGAGTGGTACTATAAATCATTTTTAATACAATTATTTAAGAACTTTCTTACAGAAAAAGGATCCAGTACTCGACTAGTAAGAAAGGATAGTGTTCTTCAAAAACACAATACTGTTTTCCATTATAGGAAAAGAAAATCCCATTTCCTTCTTGTGATGAGAGAACATAATGTGCTCCTAAAAAGCGCCATTTTCATACATACTGGACTGGGCCCTATTTCCTAGCCCCCTTCTGTCTGAGTAACAACCTTCCTTGCAACCAGCTCATGTATCTGGGTCAATTCACTCAAACCCTGAAGACAGAGGCAGCATGTTCCTCTGAAATGATAATATCCACCTACAGCATTACATGGCATCACAACACGAACCAAGTTCACTCCTTCCAACTCTTTTTCCTGCTTATAATTTTAAAAACGCCATATGTAGCATTTTTCAACTTTTTACTGCAACTAGAGAATTATTTTCATACATTCCTTTTCACATGCGAACAGTTTCAGTCATGTTTCAGAAATGAAAGCTGTGTCTGGCAGACAGACAGGCAGGCAGGCAAGCAAAGAAAGTGACAGAGAGATATTACCTACCCATCTGGCAATGTTCCACTGTGTGAACAGTTCCAAATTGTTTGTTAAAAGCTGCCAAATTGTCAAGTAGCTCATACCAAGACCCACCTGTAACTGTAGGCGCGTCTCACTGATAATTTCAAGAGGAACATTCTCCATGTTGTACTTTTCCATCATCTGTTTTGCCATGTGCTCATCCAGGTACAAAAGAGTGTGGAAATAATCTGCATAGTTATCTTTGTCTGGCACAGAATCATTGTCATACATTGTCCTGGAAAAAGCAGAGTCATGTCTTTCTTAGGGAACAAGTTAGCCCAAACAGCAACACTTTAGATTCAAATTTGGAAGGGGTCTACTTCAAATCTCAGCTGCGACACTGACTACTCTGAGGCCCTTCAAAGTTTTCTTCAGTCCCTCCAGCAAAAGTCTGAATAGTACCTTACAAATTAGACAAACAGTGAGTCCTTCAACTTCCTTTTGCAGTTCATTATCATTCAATCATGTGATGATACACAGTCACTAAAGAAACTACAAATAACAAATACCATTATTAATCATGCAACACACCATTTTTATATTATTACACTTCCATGATGAGTGAATCTACTATATTCACATAATGCCTGGATGAAATAAGCTTGGTCAAGTTCAGCTGGAATACTAATCCAAAATAACTAAGAAAATGTCTGTAAATAAAGAAACAGGAAGAGTGAGTGCCTTCTGCATGATAACAAGATGTTAATGTATGTGAGGAGCTGTGTGATTCACTTACAGAACTGACAGTAATTTGTCTGTCATGTGCAAGTCAATTCCATCCCATGGCAGAAGACCGTGTTCGAAAAGTATCTGCAGCTCTTGCGGGATGGCATATTCCAGCAGTCGATTGATCTTCCTCCTGCAACATTTCAACGTCAAGTTTCAGCCCATACTTCATGACTGAGGCGGGAGCACAGCGTATGAGCCTAGTTATACAGCTCTGTATACTGTGCTCATTCATTTGCCATGCAATTAATGCCACAGTCAGTAACTCAGACTACACAGTGCAAACTGTAGGACTAATGAATGATGAACTGGCAAGGTAGTGGAAGGAAGCGTTCACAGTCTATTTTAAGGAACTATATGAGGATCGGCCTGAAGGGATGGAGAACCTCAGTCAAGATAGTTCATGTCCTGGCCAAGATCAAAACTGGGTACCTTCCAAATACGAATCAGAAGCATATAGAGCCAACTTTCTCTTGGTAATTCATCTACGCCACGCTGACTCGTGCATGAAAATGAAGGTTGGATTTCACCTCTACAAATACATATATATATATATTATTTTTCTACTCAAAACTGCACACGATGGACTGGTACCCACATATTGTGGTAAAGAGAAAAATACCTGAAGAGTACTATTTTCTGGGATGTAACACCATATAGTCCAATAAAATTTCAATGAGCTAACAATTTGCGATTGTTCACAGCCACATTTTGTCCATTATAACAAGGGTTTGCTGTATATTTCTTTTTCTCAGTATTTACTTACTTTCTGTATATTTACTTATTTAATAATTATTACCACTACTGTACACTAAGATACAAGACTAGCTTTCACTACTTATGGATGTACAGCTTTGTAATATGCATGCCTCTCCTTTCCGTGTTGGTTTGGGCCAGAAAGACATACACACAGACAAAGAATACTACAACTAGGTTTAAAACAGTGGGAGGAGGAGAGGAAAGGAAAGAAGAGAAGCAAGAAGTGGAGGGGGAGTACCAGAACATAAAATCTGAGTGACTGTAGTCAAGACCGTATTTTTGGGCGAGTTGCCATAAAAACATGAAATATAACTCTTAACATGTCACAGTCACAGTATTCAACACTTCAGTATACGATTCTGAGATTATTTCATAATGGAAAGTTGAGGGCATTTGTGATTGGCAAATATGGATATCTTGGAAAATATCTAATCAATGTAAAGTACTTCACCACATTTACTATCAACTTACCCATCAGGCATAGTTCCTGAAACAGTAATATCCATGTCAAACCATGGCTCACAAGTGAAAGGACTATCTTTCTGTGATTCCACATCCCCAACTCTGTGATCCGGGCCAATCACATTCACAACCTGAACAGTACAAGGTTTTTAACATCATAAGGTCCCAAAAGTTCCTAATATTTGTAGACTGTACACAGCTAAGTGTCTTGGGGCAAGTGAACTAAACAAATCTATGAACATTATCTACGTGACAGATAAGGCCGTTGTTCGGAAAGAGAAATGTGAAGAAAAAAAGCACATCTCACACATGACAAGAGAGACTGCAGAAAGTTCTCAGTTAATACTGCAGCCTGCACAGACAGACAAAGAGCTACTAAAGTACAATGTTACACTATCCTACTGAATCGCATGCATCATTAACTATATCTCCCCCCACAAACAACAAAGTACCTTGCAAACTATATCTATATCTTGCGAGATCTGTCATAGACAGGCTGTCCTCAGTGACCCAAAGTTCTGTTATTTCCCAACACACCAGAAAATTCAGGCCTATGTTTGGGATTAGTTTTATCACTCTACCATTATTTTAAAATCGTAACTTATAAACTCGGGTTGGGCTCAGACAGGTACTTTATATCCACTACTAGGTTCCAGTTGAGGTATAATTTATTCATTCTTCAATAATGCCAGTGAACTACAAATGTTCTGTGAATGTAATTTGTATCAGCAACCAAACTGCATCCTTCCGAGTTGAGATTATTTCTAATTTCTGATAATGTCTGTTCTGAAATACACCAAAATGCCAACTCTTCGCTTTACTTGGAGTGTATTCAGAACTGTACTGAATGTTAGCCTTATTGCAGGCCCCTGCACACACACACTAGAATATTATCGGCTTCTGGGAGGTGATGAATGTAGCTCAATACATTGCTGTCAACAATTCAGAGAAATGTGCTGTCTTCTACTTCTGTGCTGAAGAGTGAGGTAGCAGGTTTCTCCAAAATGATAGTAACAATCTACCAAATTACATGACATCATGTCCCAGAAAAAAAAAACATCTTCATAGTCACTGCCACAAGACTAAAATCTTATAAAAAAAGTCTTCTTCAGGAGAATAACTGTAACCTCCTGAAAGAAGATCCTATAAGCATTAAGCATCACGGATATGAAGTTTTGTGCATGTACAAAAAGCTAATAATGTCTATGGAACAGCAGATTTGGTATACTCAATTAATGACAGTCAGAATATCTATAATGGCATGTCATACCTTGAGTAGGCAACTTTATGAAAGCAAAGTCCTGTTTTTTCAACATGATATCTGTGGTACACTGATGTCTGCCGCCACTGTACGGTAAAAACAGAACTGAATAATTTGATTTGTCTCATTCTGGTCCGTCACACTAACAATCGCAAAATAGATAACTTACAGTCCAGTGCGACACACTGGAAGTGTGGTAAACTTGTGTGTCACACTGGACTGAAAGTTATCTATTTTGTGAGAACTGAATAACTTCTTAATGATCACATAACAACCTAAAAATCTCATTACGACACAACTTCAGAGATATTTTCAACACACTTGAACAAAGTTTCAAGTCACAATACACACCATTACTCGAATAATGTCAAATTCTTTCCTTGCCGAATCAGTAGCATACACCAGCGTAAAGCACACTGGTACACCATAAGTGCCAATGCCACAGTTACTAAAGGTCACTTTAACCACATACGAGGCACCTGCACAACAAAACAACAAACAACATGCATTACCGGCAATTAGGTTCGATCTTTCTGCAGCAGATAAAAACAGGGGAGAAATACTGCGGAAATAAAATCAATTCATGGCATAAGGTTTAAAAAAAAGTAAAATTCAAGAATCAGTTCAGACACAGGTGTATTCAGGACAACTGTCCAAGGATACAGTGGCATGCAAGACACAGAATGTAAGATAAACTCTCTGCACAGATGCAAAATGTAACACTCGTGGCAGTAGCCTTCTGCGATGTGAAGTCAGGGAGTCCAGTGGACCATTATGAATGTCTCCATCTTCAGGGTAGAAGAGTAAGCTAAGAACAGAAAAGGATGGCACAGGTACAGGTAGTGAAAAAAGTAGACTCAGGGCCCTGGGCAAACCTCATTAGATGTAACATTAAGAAACAAACAGAGCTCTAAATACTGAACTAGGATATCAAGGCAGACCTACAGGTAGATGCATTGCACAAGATGGACGGAAAATTAAAGATATACCATAATTGTCTGATTAACCCGTTGCCGTGGTTCGTCGTGTATGTTTCGTCAGGGATTTAAATCGTCTGGGGGGGTTCGACGTGTATGTTTCGTTCAGCTGCACACCTATGTTATA